ACATGGAACACAGGAAGGAACGTTGACTCCAGTGACAGGGGCGTGGCAGCATCCCTCCTTTTATCTCCAAACTTGCTTCTAATCACTCCCAGCTGCCTAATGAATCTTGATCCCGAAAAGACTCTCAGCAGAACTGCTGAGTCACAACACACACACACACACACACACACACACACACACACACATGTATATGTATAAAAGTGATCAAAGTTCATGTGTTATATCAAGACTGAGAATGTACATTCCTTTTCTCCTCTCAAAAGCTGAAAGGTGATTAGATGTTTTGTTAATTCTGTTTTGTTCAACTAGTGCTTTTTTGCTCTTTTGAACTTGACAAATGAACTTTAATTCAAAGAGCTCTTTTCCGATATATATTGTTTACTGTATTTCCAAACATACAATATCATGTTGAGTTCTATTACTCTATCATAACACTGATACATTCTGAAAATAAGAGTTATCATAGATTTTGTCAGTGGCAATTTGCATGTATTTATGCAAATTCTCAGCATGATGGCAGGGTCTACAGAATTAGCTGCAACATACTGATTTTGATTCAAAACACTGCTCTCCCTGGCTCATTACTTTCAATGCTAATTGCAAGTAGTTATAGGGGAATACAAAATCTTATATAAAGTTAATTCTGACTGCTAAAATATCTTAGCATGATTATACAACATACTTCCCCCCCAAAAAAACCCAAACACCAAAGCTCATTTTATTTAATAGTCCTTCTCAGTCTTACTTTTCTTTCATTCTATATTTCTCTTCCATAAAGAAGACCCAGCAAATGTTTCAGATTTTGTTTTCAGTTCCTTAATAGTACAATAAGAATGCACATCTGCACTTTTTGTGTCTATTTATTCTCATTGCTGATGAAAGCAATCCCAATAGTTGTAGTGATAAAAAAGTAAAAAGTATTAATTTAAATTAAATTATGATATTTTTAATTACTCACTTTTTTGCCTCCAGTGATTGCTACTTTCTGCAGCTTTCGGTAACAATACCTGGCATAAGTGCTGATTGGTAGACCTAGCAGATAAAAATGAACAAATTAGAATGGTCCTGGAAAACTCCTTTAAAAAGAAAATAATCCCAGAGCATGAATATCTGTACATCTTCTCTAATCCTAAACCTTATCCCTATCTTTAAATATTAAGAATTCTACATACATTCATAGAAACATTGTTGTTGAAATTAATCTGGACAGCTTTCTCCAAGACAGTAGTTGTACGGTTGTTGTTTTTTCTTCAATTATTTTCCCCCTGTACTCAATTCATTTATGGTAGTTAGGGCTAGGAGAAAATCTTACATTCTTTAATGAAGAGTGCTATAAAAATACCATATACTTGCAGTGGTAATAATTGGACCATTTACTCTCCCAATTCTAAACTATTTCCAAAGTTTGTTTTATCCACACATCTGTATTATTAACTCATTCGAAAATCATAACATAGAAAGACAATTTTTTCCCCATTGTTTATTCAAATTCTATAGCTTTTCTAAAAAACTGACTATATCTTCCTGGGTTTTGCAGTAGAAAACTTTACCCATTAAAACAAAACAAAACAAAACCTATCTTTTCACTATGTTTTGGGGAGATAGTTCCAATTATTAGCACTACTCTCAGGTTAGTTTCTTGAAATTATTACGTAAAGTTATCTAAGGAAATGTTGATGATTCTAGCATGTTCCCAAAGTGCCATTTATGTATGTATATATTTATTTAAAAGGCTTCTCTCCACCTTATGTACCATAACTGGGCAGCCCACAATAAATAAACAATAAATCCACCATCAAAAAATCCCAGTACCCAACAAACACTACTCCTTACATCAACATTTAGATTTGAACTCCAGCCTCATCCTAAAACAATGCTTGGATTGTTTCATAAGGTGCTATAGCAGTGATGGGTTCCGGATCCCGTTGTAACTGGTACAGTGCAACAGGCTGGGCGTCCACCACATGCATGTGCACAGCACATGCGCAGCATGCACATGTGTACTTACTGCCCGCGATGCTCCAGCTGCTCGGCGGAGCATCACGCAGGCGCCGTACGCTCCATGCATGTAAGCCCTGATCAGCTCAAATACAGGTAAAGAGGGCAAAGAAGAATGCTATCTGATGCTCCCAGCAGACACCGTCGTATCCCACCACTATGCTATAGCTATAAATGATGATCTGTTACACACCTTTGCACTGTTAGTTTCAGCTGGAACAGATATAATGTGTCTGCCGTTGCCTGAAATATTGGATAAGGGCCCTCTAATGCTGTAAGCTTGTATTGTTAAATTAAAGCTATTGCCTGAGTCCCACGGCTCAAGCTTACTTCTTGGATAAAATTAACACAGAGCAATTAATGAAGGGGAAAAATGCTATTTTTGCATTGCTGATAGTTTATTTTATTTAAAGCATTTATATGGTTACCCAATTCAAACAATATTACTCTGGATAACATATAATTTGACCAATGAACAACAACAACAACAACCCCAAAATAAAATAAAAAGTACCAACTTAAATCAAATATTTTTTTAAAAATCTGATGATGTGGAATTGAAATTTATTGCACTCTTCCAGACAGAAGTGCTGATCATCCTAACCACTAAGTCACAGGGAAAGGATAGAAACCTTTACTGCCTTTCTAAAGACTTGCAGTTGATTTCAGCAATACTGAGTGACATGGACCTTGGGAATAGTGTTGAGGTAACAGGAAAAAAAATCTGAAACGGGTAGAAAGTTCTTGTAAAAGAATCATTTAAAAATAAGAAAAAAACAATAACACAAAAGACATAAAACAAAGGAAAATAAATAAGAATCAACTGAGAAACATTTGGTAAGGAATTAAGGGGATCTGACTTGGCAATAATTGAATGGAAAATAGATCTGGAAATGGTAGCAAAATGAAAGCATGCCTTTAGCATTCAAGTGTAGTGAAAAACAAAATATCTCTAGATGCAACTGTGCTATTGCATTTAAATGTTTAGGTACCTCTGGTCAAATAAATGTTTCAGTGAACCTCTAAATAGTCTCCATTATTTCAATGAATCTCTAACTAGAACATATGTATTTAATCATGCAGAAAAAAGTCATATTAATTTAGGGGTTCCTGAAAACATACAATTTGAGCAGAACTGTCTATGTTTTTGCATACAATTGCACAAATATATAGAAAATTACACTCGAAATGCTGCATGCATTTTTGTTTGCTGCATCTAATAAAGGATATCACATTCTGGAAACACTAGTGTAGATTTGGACAAATTTACATAGGCCTAAAACATTTAAGGAATTTTAGTTTTAAAACTAAACATCATATATAATATAGGGAAAAATGAGAAATCCAAGGATTAGCCAACAAATCTCAATAATCTAATGAACCTGATAGATTGAACACTCAGGAGAAACTAAATAAAGCATTTATAATAAGGCAAATGAGAAATTTCATAAATTAACTAGCATAAAATTTGGAGAGGATCACTAATATAAAAGAATTCAAAAAGGGATTAAACTGATTTATGAAGATTAAAAACTCTTAGCTATAACAGCTGTATGCTATCTCCAACATCAGAGACCTCCTGCCTCAAAAAAATTGCTGTTGTTTGATATCATATTGGGGGATTCCCATAATTATGTATCTATTATTTAACGTGAGGAATATGGCCGTAGAAAGGCCTTTAATCTTACATAATATAAAGTTATGCCAATATTGAGCAGGTCAGAAGGAGAACTGAAAAAATATAGAACCCTCACAGCCTGGACATAAAACTATTTCTACTTCTTTCCTTAGTTCACTATAGGACATTGCATGTCAAAACAAATGGACAAAGGGACAGTTTCTTCCCTTGAGCCATCTGAACATCTAATTCTCACAATACTGACTAATATTACATTTGATGCAAGACAATACATTAAAATAATCAGAAACTATTCAAAGAATAAAGCATACCAACAGATAGAGCAGTCTTAAGATCAGGTGAAACACTTTTTAAAATAAGAATGAAAATTATCTAGTTAGAATATAGGTCTGTGGGGCGGGGGGAATTGGAGAGAGATTGTCAATGGAAAAATATATTTTTAGGCAAGGCTGTGACAAGAGCAGAAACTGGCACTGATGATGTTACCTAGTTAGGGTAATGAAGTGTGTGCAAGAAAACAAGCAAGCTCAGAGAGCATCAAGGACTCCTCATTTCAACCCTAAACTACAAATATTCTCCTTTACTGATAGCAGAAGCTGCCTGCATTTAATTATTAGGTTTTTTAAAAGTAGGCACCAGCTATCAGACTGAACTGAAGTTCCAAACTACAAAGAAATGAAAAAAGACCATCTGCACAGAAGGGAAGTATGACTAAATTAGCATTTTTGCTGGACTGTTTTGAGGCTTGGAGCCAATGATTATAACTGATCCCATCTGGATGGAAACTGCTTTATGAAAGTAAGGTTGCAACCTAATCTGTGTTTATTTGGCTACAAGTTCTGTTGAAACAAATGAGACTGTAGATTGAAGCAGTATTTATGTATAGTTAATCTTAGAGTTGGCAGATGAAATGTTAATACACTAGACTATTATATATAATATTCTACAGAATGAATAAAATAAATAAATTCTATAGATTTTACTAGTAGTTAGTTCATTTTGCATTTGTTACTATTTCCATATTGCTGATTCCTGCGTATGCTCCAGACTGAATTTACCTATAGTAAAGTACAAACAACCGCAATAACGGGTGCCAAATATCTGCGATACCTAAACAAAGATATGTGATGATTTTTGTTTTCTTATATGTTTTACCTTCATCCTCTGTGCTTTGTTTTCTCTTTTTCCTGGATTTTGAGTTCTTTTTGTTTTTCAGATCCAGAAGTTCCTTAATGCGTTGGGTAACTGAAAATACAAATTAGTTTTAATTGAGTGATGGCAAGATAGTCAAATATTCACTGTCCTCTTCCATCTGCACAAGTTTGACTTCATTGAGCAAATCCAAAGTGCATCTCCCTGTGAAATATATTTGCCCATGTGTATCTGTTTATTTATTTACACTTATCACAATCAATAACATGAGTCTAAGGCCCAAACCATCATGTCTCACAAATTATTTGAACAATGTATACAATCTAAACGAGGCCTTGGAATTTAAAATATTCTTTCTCAATTTATTATTTTGACTAAGAATATCTAAAATGTTTGTTTTCCCAAACTTTTCAAACCAGTGTGAACTGTGCTCTATCTGGGCTTTATTAGAATCATGGGATATAAAAGTGACTCTTAACTAATTATTTGCTTTCAGTAAACCTCAGAATACCAAAGAATAAAAAAAAACGTCCTTGTATAAACATCCAGTTTTTTCAGTATTTAGCCTAAAATGTAAAAAAAAAAACTTTAAAAGGCATAGCAATTAATTATATATGTCTAGATAGGAAAACAATTTTGTCTGAGCACAAAAGCTAAACAAGATTAGGCCTCTTTAGGTCTTGGGTGAGAGATTATCAAGCAATTCCAGGGCTTTAGACTAGATTATGCAGTTGAAAAACTTCCTGAAAGAAGGCAAGGGCAATTAACTTCCATACCGTTATCACTCCTGTAGTCACTAGAAATTAAATTTAACTCAAATGCAGAGTTATATATGTCATAATTTAATGTTAATATTTAATTGGTTTTAATAGTTAAATTATGTTGATTTACTTTGTTTTGTGCATGCTGTCCAGTCACATGCAACTATATTAATTCAATAAATAAATAAATATTTGTAATAATTTATTGGAAAGTTATAAAAAATCTTCTTTTATAGAAATATAGTTTTTTGTTTTAATGAAACTGAATCTCTACCTACTTAGTAAACCTGCTAAACATTACAAGGATTTTTCTTTTTCTTTCATTTTTTTCCCCTTTTTTCTTTTGCTTAGGCCAAAGAAGCTAGGTTCTCGGGCAACAAATGCTGCATTTTATAGGGGGAAAAAAACCAACCGTTGGTCCTTAGCACCTTTAGTAATATGAACTGCATTGTATTATGGTAACTTACCCCTATTATAATTAACTTTATATCATCTACAGGTGTTTAAAGTACTGTAATTTACTTTATTAAATAAAGCACGTACTATTTTCATCTGCGATTTGGCTGAGGTGACGATAAATGTAGCCTTCCAGGTAAGATTGGAATTTGGGTGATGGGGAGAAAAAGGCCAGACTAATTGCCATAAGTTCCCAGCCCCATGCCAGACTTTGGTAGCACATATTGTCTGTTGTTTGTCTGATTAGTTGAATGTACAGCTCATCCCGTAAACCTTGAATACTCCAGCATTTGGTGATGGTTATCAAAGCCACATTATTGCGGTCCATTCTGGCTTGCCGATCACCCATGTAGATTTGTATCAGTTTAAATATTTCACAGGCTTCCTTTTTGATGGTGAAGTTACTGGTGATAAGCATTGGCTTTTTGATGGAGCCACCATTCCAAGATAACATGTTGGCAATGGAGAGCCTCCGACGGAAGATGCCCTGAGTATGCATATTAAGATTTTTGGAAGCCCAGTCAGACATGCTGCTTTGGGAGATGGGCTTTCGTATGGTGTGGAAGGGAAACTGATATCCGATGTTGGTTCCAGATTGAACATTATTCTCTTCTTGAGAATGAGACCCTATTGTTCCGCACTGTAAAAACAACAGACAAAAGAATCATGAAAAAGCTGAGTTGATAATTTTCTTTGAACAAAAATGGCTGATAGTGGTCATTTTCTTCACCTGGTACCTCTAGTATTTGATTCTAGAAGACTGGATTATGCAGGCTAACTTTAGACTATTCTATTTTATTCATTCTAAGAATGTAACTCAATCCCTATATTACTGTTGTAAGTAATTTGGGGGGAGGGGGTCTGCTGTAACTTCTAATGCTTGCTAATGAGCAGTCTTAAGTCAAGGACGATCTATACCTGACAGCACTACTGTATGAACAATCCCAGACAAGCAATCAATACCAATTTTGAGTACTGGGAATTTTTCAGAATGTTTGTTAGAGTGTAGTTTAATTTATTTAATAATATTTAATGTATTATGCCTAGCAAAATACAATAAAATTGTCATTTTTGCAAAAATATATCAAAATAGTATATGTAGCAAAATCAATAATATTCTATGTAGGGCAATAATTTGGCATAAAATGTTTACAATTACAGCATAACGTTTTTCTTATGCGCTCTCTCTCTCATCTAGATAAAAATACTATTTATTTTTGCCTTCTACTATCTACATTTTCAAGTGAAAACCTATAATTATTTTGACTTATTTGTTGTATATTATATCTTACCTGGGAGTATTATTATTATTGAATAAAAGCAAATTTAATAAAACTTCACATTAATAGCGAAGTATTAAACAAAAGAAGCAATCTTTTAACCATAGCATTAAACTCATATACCTTGTATTATGATCTAGTGGTATAGATTAAAAATTAATTTTCACTCCCAGCACAGTATGAAGCATGTAAACATGTTTTAATTAAATTAAAAGTTATAATTGTAAGTGTATACCTGACGATTTCACAATCTCCAGGGTTAGAAAATGCCTGACCTCCTGACAATAAATAAATACTTTAACATGGTTATGATTAAAATGGTTTGATATTAATAAATACCTGTGTTGATAATTGTGTTGTGTCTGATGATGATGGGTTTATCAGGCCGGACACATTCTTTTCTAAGGAATCTATTTTTTCATAAGTTCTCTTCTGTCTCACCACATCTTGCTGTATTGCTGGATCATTTGAGAGGCCTTTACCCTCCATTGTAGGCCTATATAATGACCTGTTACTAGATGTAAGATCATCTCTTGAGTTCCTGCTATTACACTTTTTAAAGTATTCTGATTGAAACGTAATTTTATTACCCTCTAGAATACTTGTGTTGTCTAGCATTTCTGCATCTAAACTACCTTTGCTCCCTCTGCAGGCAGCAGATCTATTTACCACTGCACGCATCTCTGCAATAAGCTTGTCATTCAGCACAGTAAGTTCACTGTTGCTGCCTACAGAACAAGGTCTTCCTAGGCCTGGAACATGTCGTCTTCCTTTTCTCTTTCTTAAACTTGGAGAAGGACCTGTCGAATAGCCAGAGTCTTGCTGACTTATCACTGTAGGATATTCTTGAGTCTGAACACTGCTCTGCAGGCGATTATGGACTTCCATATTTTTAAGAACATTAGCTTCTACGACTTTCCATGACTGCTTGAAGCTCTCCCTAGAGCTAAGCTGACCCACCTGGGATTTATCAATGCCCTCAACTATTAAAGTGGTAGAATGAGGTTTTTTTGATGACTGTTCAATGTTGACCATGTGTTTAATATATTCTTTTCCTACAGGGCTGTATTCTGTTGCAGAAGGGTTTCTTGAATGCTTTTTTCCACCCTGGTGTTGCTGTATACTTGGAGGCTGTAATAATTTAATTGGTTGCAGCTTCTTATTTAAGCTATTGCTTGGAGACAACTGTGGAGTTGTCCCATTCATATTTGTAATTCTAAAGTCCATATCTGCAGGAGGCTCATCATAAATTGGGGAGTCAATTGATGGTTCATCATATATTGGAGGTGGAGAAGCACATTTGGGAGATGCAGGCAATTTTTGTAACTGATTTCCTGAGGGAGGCTGAGGAGTATACCCATTAGTTAGTACCAGACAAAATCCTCCGTTCTCTGTCTTTTTAATTTTCATTGAACGCTTAATCTCTACTGGAGCTGTTGATTTTGGAGTTAATGAGTTTGGGACCATAGGCTGAGACTGGGCATATACAACTGCTTTGGGATTCATTGATTCCTGGCTGCTGATTTCTGAATTGTTTTGCATCTGAAAGGAATTGCTTGAGGAAGAATTTACTTGTCTTAGGCTATTAACTTTAACCAGCATGGCTGCTTTAGTCCCTGGCAAAGGCTGCCAACCAGTAATGGTATCTCTGTAGAAAAAAATAATACAATGTTAAAATATAAAACAAAAGAACATACACATACACATTGCTTTTGTCAGCCTACAAAATGCCCCATAGTTTGAAGCTATCTCGGGAGAAAGGCAGGGAATTTCACTAATTACATTGCAAAAATATTTTCTATTTTCTGTCACAGCTATCACAGAAATATCAGAAATTTGAGAAATAATACTTGTTCAGAATTTTTTATATTGGCCAGATTTTTCCAAGTGCATATTTCTTTTCTAGGTAAATGAAATTACAGTACTGGGTGAATGTATTCAATTTTTAGTTAAAGTAGTTTTAAATACAAGTTTAAACAGTTTTAAAAATTATTTTAGGATAAACAGCAAAAGGGTGATTAGAACTTTAATTTTAGAAAATTACAATCAGACTACGTCCAGATAGATTTGAAATAAGATTTTGGAATTCATTATAAGAATGTTTTCAATGGGAAAATGCTTTTGTTTTGAATTCTCTTTTAGTTTTTTTTTTTTTTTTAGTTTTAAAGTTTATT